GGAGGGAGTCATGAAGACAATCCTTGTACTTGGGGGTCAGGTTTAAGGGCATGTCTATCGGCGCCTGGTGCTCTTACCGTCCAGGTGGCCGACTTGGCAGTACTGGATTGCTGGAAGGACACGTCGAAGCTGTGCGGACCTGGGTAGTCAGTGTTGGAGGGGATGGCTGGCGACGGTGAGAGGGCATCGAAGGTGGAACTGGGCTGTGCATAGGGCGACGGCGCCGTGACGCTGTTCTGCGCGTGGTCTGTGTTGTAGGGGCTGGTGGATGAGGAGCCGTTCTGAATCTGCTGGTCCATGCTGTTCAGGAGCCCCAGGTTCGTGTACTGTGGCTGCAGGACACCCAGAAACCCCAAAGTTAACCATTTAAGCTGCAGATCATGGCTCCAAACAAAGGCATCATTTAGTGCATGCATTCTACAGAGTTCCACCTCAGGTTCCTAACACTTAATATCTGAGGTAAAATGGCCAATGGGTGATACACAGTTAGGAACAAGAGAAATCTCAAGCATGTGAGCGTGTGTGTGTGTGTGTGTGTGTGTGTGTGTGTGTGTGTGTGTGTGTTTGTAATGACCTGCACAGATCACACAGCTCTTATGTGCAGCTTTTGGAGACTGTGGTCTTCTCAAGAGCATTTGAAAGTAGAATATGTGCTTATTTACAAACAGGACAAAAAGTATCAAGTACTAAGTAGCTGATTGGGAATTCTTTAAAATAAATTAATGCTTAATTAATGCTGCTTGCTCTCTTTTTTTCTGGGTTTTTTTTTTTCCTTTTCGTCTGCCATGGTATTCAAATGAAAAAGACCACCTAGTAGATATGTTCTCAAGGTGATTTAAGCATCAGATTATTGTATGTGGAGTATATATACTGTACAGTCTTATAATTCTAAATTTTGTACCACGATAGCAAGATTTCCTCCCAAGAGCTAGTTTCATGAAGACTGGAGAGGCATGGGTCACAGGACCAGGAAGAGCCAACTATATATTTTAACATGTTCATATATCATCCAAACACAACCTATGTTTTCATGTTTTTTTCATTTTCTATGGAGCAGTTTATTCTTTTCTGGAGTAGAGCGCGTCTAAGACAAATGTCATGTAGTTATGACTAAAATTCTATATTTAATGTAATTCGGAAGTACATTAGCTCATGTAGCTCCTCGTCCAGATGCATTTGTGTGAACGGATCTGCACACAGAGGTGGTGCTCACTAAGATGTTTGTGGAAAGAATATATTAGTTTCTTCTCATTTCATCTTCAAAACAACTTTACCATATTACTACCAGAGAGGGGAGGCGATTTGCTCAAGCATTGGCTAATAACCAAAGAGCGAGGATTCTGAAACCCAAAATTCTGTCTCTGAGTTCAGTGCCCTGCCCATTGGCATCACAGCTACCAGCCTGGTCAGATAATTCAAGTCATTCCTAAACCTGAGTTAAAACTGACACACTTCCAGAAGGGACAACCATCCTAGGGTACAGATTTCCCTTTGTGAAACTTTCTGACACATGGAAACCCCATTGTTTCTACAAGTTAACAAAGGGAAACCAAACAAAACGCAAGAAGAGGAAGGCCCTCCTCTGGTACATACTTTATAATGCAAGTGAGTCGTCTGGCTCTTCGGCTGACACAGAACTATGAGAGTCCCAGACTAAGTAAAATGCTGGAGAAGAGCAGACCCACCAAGAAACAGACAGTTGAAAAAAAATAATTGAATTAAACTTTACGTTTAATGAAAACATTTTACTAAACTTTACATATTTCACTTCACGTGGGGAGGAGAAATGGACTCCGCCATTCCATTCAGTCCAGAGAGCATCTGTCTAAATGTTAACGGTCGCATGCCCATTCCATTACATTTATACATTCACATTCCACCGCTAAATGCCACGTCCCCATTTGCTCTTCAAATAACTATTAATCTCTTTACACTTATCCCCATGCTGACAAGAGCAGCTGTTTGTCTCGCCTTCTCTCCCTTTTGCCTCCTATCGCTCCTATTCCTCTCCTCTCTTCCATCCCCAACTTCCCCTCTTGACAGGTGCAGCAAAACTGCAGGTAAGACAACTAGGGGAGAAAAAAAAACGAAAACCTGAGGCACGTTCAAATGTGTCCACACCCCTGGCTAAATTAAAGCTGTTAAGATTTCAAAGCCCGAGGCAACAGCCTGGGAAGGGGGTTGAAAAGATATTATTTGTGTTCAAGTTAAGGGTCAGTATACAAAGCACTGCTGAATGTCCTGTAGGAATCAGATAATGCTCCCAGAGGCACGTGCTTCCCTGCAGCAGTACAATTAGGGAGGCAGCTGTCCCTGACAAGAAGGACAAAGAAACACAGAGAAGCACTTTCTCACTGGCAGTAAAATGTCTGTTAGGCCACCCCTTTCCTCCTCCTTCTAGCTACACAGAATGGAACTCCGGCTAATTGTGGGCTTGGATGAGAACAAAGAAACATGGCCCTTTGAATTTCTTTTTCAATATATGTAAAGAGAAAAGTTTTGGGACCCAGCTTTAAAAGTCAGTGAGCAAACACTCAGCACTTCTGGAAGGACTTAAGAGAAATGGAAACTCCATTTACTTTGGAGGCACAAAGGAGACCCCCGGAGTGAACATATTGGGTGGCACCAAAGAAGCAGAAACTGTATTCCGAAAGTCATTAATAGCACTGTGGGTGCTGATGGATATGCTTTTGAATGCCACAATTTTTCAATTGCATACAGTTCCAGGTGAAATATTTTAGTTAACAACAACAGGATTTGCTTCCAAAGCTAACGCCTTAATTTGTAACTATATTTCTCAGGTCTGAGCAAAAAGCTGCTTACTATCCAAGGTGACAATGAGAAAACACAATTCAATTTAAATTTTTCCCAAATTTTAATTTACATAAACATAAGCCAAGTAGTATACTCAACCATCTTGAAAAATAAAAAAGCATAAAACCAACACTACTAACTTTGAATTAATTAGCCTAAAACATAAACAACAAATCCACCAAAGAAAGAATTGTTTTATTGGAAATCCACTTGAATACTTTTTATAGCTTTATTAAAAAATCAATGTCATAAACCTGCCATAGGAAAAAGTACTTTAGAAGTTAATTAAAAAAAAACAACATTTAGTGAACAACAACAGTTTATTTGTTTATTTCTTGATTTGAAGAGAGAGTGGACGTGTTGACCACATACAATTGGCAGAGAAGGCAGACCAACACAGCCAAGAAGAACAAGTGTTACAGACAGGTCCTGCAAAATAATTTCAGGGCCCATTACATAATCAAAATGCAGAGTCTCTTGTTCATAAATTATTAAGAGTTCCAAAATGGTGACAGCAGAGAATTAAACAAAGTACAGGGCTCTTCAATGATGACACGCTCTGCATGTCTGTGAAGCTAGTTCTGTACCAGGTGAATGTGAATAATATTGGTCCTTGATTTTTCCACCTAAGTGAAGCTGCTGGGGTCAAGAGGGCAGTACTTGTGCCCCTGTTTTACTGTCAGTAATTCCATAAACACAGAGGGGAACTTGAATATGCTGGGATGCTAATTTAATGTCTATTTATAATGACAAAAGAGGCTCAAAAGTTAGAACATGACATTTTTATATCAGTCACATAAACTGCCCTTGGAAGAACTCTATGCGGGTCCCACATATCCCATGTCTTTCTTATGTAACAAAACTATTGGACTATTTGAGATGAAATAGGAAGTAGATTGTTCCTTTCTAACCATCAGGTATCTTGATTTCAGAATGACCTTATATAGTCAATGAATGAATGAATGACAAATGTTTTGTATCTATCTTGTTACACCTGAAAAAAACAACAACAGCCTTCTTTTCACAAAATACAAAATGCAAAAAATGAACACAATTTATCTGATATCTACTGTAAGTCTGATAAAGTGAAACAATCAGTTTCCTCTGGATTCAAACAGCTGCTTCATTTCCATAACATAACTTTGAAATGGAAGACTCACTGCCTGGACCCAGGAAAATTACTAACATCTGTAGCTGTAATATATTTAGGTTCATCACAAACTAGCTGATCTGATCACAGAAAGGATGAAACACACTTTGGTCACAGAGACTTAGCATATCCAGGTAATTACAGAACAGCCTGGGGTGTTCTGAAACATGAGGCTGGCATGATAAGTGTAGAGATACCCAGGGGCTGAATCTCAAACTGCTTGCTTTCATCATTAAGAAAAAACAAGTATAACTGCCATTGCTAAATCTAGTAAGAGTGTTTTCTTGTTTTTTTGTCGTTCTTACCCAGAAGTCCTTTAAAATTCTCATAGCCATCTACAGACGGATTTATTTTTTTCACTAAAGTTCAATTTGGATGCTTAAAATTAAACTAACAATATCGAAGATTAGATTTTTTCCTGACTGGTCACTGCTTTAAAAGTATCCTATAAATGCAATCACTTTATTTTCATTTTATTTTTCTTTCCTGGATTACATTGTTTAATGATCTTAAATTCTGAATATATTACGGGCCTGGATTTTTTTCTTATAAACTCAGAAATAATGTATCAGTATATATTGCTGTAAACAAAACTCAATACGGCATACCTGGGTTTATGGTTATTTCAAGTTGAGGATGCACTTACCTCCCTATAAAACAATTTAACATCAAAAAAAGGATTCCAATCAAGTCATTTGACCAGTACAATGGAAACAGGGACTTAGACATAACTTGTGTTTCTGAATATCTCGCTCCTCCAATTTATCTGTATGTGGGAAATTTTATAAGTTCTCTTTACCAGATGTGACTGCCATAGCTAATTTATGGCAACAATAGCCAACAACATATGGCAAGAGATTAATAAAAAATGGGAATGAGAGTGAAATTGGGGATAGAAGAGGTTACTGTTGGGATATATAATCATAATTTATTTTCCTCAATTTAAATGTTCCATTGTCACAGGAAATAATTAGTTGCCCAAATTTCAATTGGAATACATTATATTTATAATCCTTGCCTGCCTGTTAGATGAGGCTAGAGAACTGAACATTCTTCAGCACCCTTTATATTCCTGAATGGCTCCTAGTAACGCAAAAGAACTGTGAACTTCGACTTGGCGATGTAGGACCTAAGTCCCAACACTCCCACTAATGTGCTGTATGCCCCTAGGCAAGGTGCTTTAACAACCTGGGTCTTGGTTTTCTATAGGGAGATTGATTCTGATGATCAAATAGAAGAGTGAGCCAATTCTAACATTCTGGTAGGTGTGACCATCCTCATCCACAAGCTATTTTAAAATACTATGAGATTGCTTTAAAAAACAAAACAAAACCTTTTTTCTTTACACAGATTTGCCCAACCAAACCT